TAGGAGTACAATCAGAATTCCCCGAAAATTTCTACACACAATCCACATACAATCCATACAAAAACAACAAATCTAGGAACATCAGGTACCCGCCTCCTAACAAAAACCAACACACCTATATAGAGCCATCGAGAAACAACAACCCCAATTTCACCAAAAAACAAAAAAACAAAAATACCCCCCCACCAAAAAAAAACCCAGCTCTCACTGGCTAGAAAACCCAAAATGTACAGAGAGGGGGTATCTCTTAGAAAACCCGAAATATGTTAAAAGAATCAATCATTATATTTTAGAAGCCCCAGTCCGAACAAGAAAACTAGTTTAGATGACACAAAACCCAAATAATAAACCTATCTACATATACACTTACAAATGACGTAATCAACCTATTGAAATTAGGTCTAAAATTCTGCTCTGCTCCGAAAAGCAATATAGCAGACCTAAAAAATAGACCTTAGGCAATCTGAACGCAAATTGAGACTAAAAGAAATATTTAATAATAACGAAAATATTACAGATGAGACTTTGGTTAAAAAAATAAACCCAATTTATTCACAAACAAAAATAATAATACCAATGAGCTAAATATATTTTTTGAGAAACTCTGGAACCTCGACCTACAAGAAAAATCCAAACCATTCGACAAAATTACAAAGACGAGCCTTAGAGAGCATCCGAAAAATAATAACATAATTATAAAAGAAGCAGATAAAGGCAGCGCTATAGTAATCATGGACAGAACATACTATAAAAAATTTATAGAAACACTAGAGGATAAGAACAACTACAAATTAATTGACACTAACATAGACAAAAACATTATATCAAAAATTACAAAACTCTGCACAACACAATAAAATATTAACAAAAAAAGAGAAGGATTTCCTAATAAACTTTGTACCAAAAACAAGCAGTTTCTAGAGACTACCTAAAATTCACAAATCGAGTGAAATAAAAGCAGCTATCAGACACAAAAATCTGAATAGTTTAGCATTCCAAACCCCAGTGATCTTACATTCAGACCAATAGTAGCAGGACCAGTCTGTCCAACTAGCAAACTCAGTAACCTAATAGACATAATATTACAACCATTTACTAAGCGAATTAAAAGCCACATCAGAGACGATATTCATTTCCTTAGCTGCATACCACAAAAAGTAGACACGGGAACACTTATGGCAACTTTTGACATTAGTAGCCTATACAGTAACATACCCCATGAACTAGGTAAAAAGGCGATCTCATTCTGGATTGAAAAACATCCAGAAATTCTACATCCGAGATTCACTAAGGAGTTCATTATCGATAGCATAGACCTTATTCTAAACAATAACACCTTTGAATTTAACAACAAAAACTATATCCAATCCCTAGGTACTGCAATGGGAACAAAAATGGCACCAACATATGCCACCCTAACATTAGCTTACCTAGAAGAAAACCATTATGAAAGGATAGAACAAATATGCGGGGAAAATATAAAAACCCAATTGACTAAATCTTGGAAACAATACTTAGATGATAGCTTCATTTTCTGGAAATCTTCATGGGTTGATACTAATCAATTTCGCACTCTACTTCAAAACTTACACCCAAAAATCAAATTCACGCAAGAATATAATTTTAACGAATTACCATTTTTATATACACTTATTAGAAATAAAAACAACCACATAATCACAGATATCTCCACAAACCTACAGACTCCCAACAATATCTTCATTTCAAGAACCATCACCCAAAAAGCTGCCAAAAATCCATCCCCTATTCCCTAGCACGTAGAATTTGTACAATAGTGACTGATAAACACCTCCGAAGACCCACCTAGTAGAACTACATAAAACTAAAAATACGAGGCTACCCCACAACACTAATAAACAAAGGTTTTGAAGTCGCAAAAGAAATTCCTTTAGACCAACTTTGAAATAAAAAGAAACGTAACGTCGAACAAACTCTAGCATATGTCTCAACGTACAACAAAAACAATCCAGAACTATTCACAGAAATTATAAAAAATCTAAACCTACTTAGCAAGAATAATAAACTGCAAAATATATTAAAAACAACCAAAATGATGAAAAGCAAACGCCAATCTAAAAACATATTAAACTCATCCAAATTTAACCAACACACAATACAGGGAGTCACAAAATTTAACAAAAAAGATATTGGGTTTGTGACATCATTATAGAAGGAAACTCTTACACTTTTGAAAACCCCAAAACGACATTCATGATAAACAAAACCTTAAACAGCAACTCCAAAAGTGTGATTTATGTACTCAAATGCACAAAATGCAAGAAGTCATATATAGGTATCAGCCAACAATTGAACAACAGGGTCTCCCTACACAAAAGCAACATAAAATTTCCAGACAACAGAAAACTTTTCTATCACAACACATCTTTAAATGTAACCAGGGTAAATTTAAATTTATGCCAATATATCAAACAGACAATTATTCTTACCCACAAATGCAAGAAAAAAACAAATTTAAACCAGCACTAAATAGATCATAACCCCACACGCAAAAACACACAACATGTGCACATAATGGCCAAATACAGCGATCAAACCACTAACATGCATTCACTCGTGCTCACATGCGGGTGTCTGTGGAACACATATATATATATATATATATATATATATATATATATATATATATATATACACATATTGACAAAAGCAGGGACTACTCACAGGCACGCGCGCAGACACCACACAACTTAGGAAGTATATGTATATGTATGTACGTATATATGTATGTATGCATGTATGTGTGTGTATACTGATTACTTGTAACTTGGGAAGTATATATATGTACGTATGTATGTATGTATGTGTGTGTGTATATATACTGATTCCTTGTAATAGGACAGTATGTATATGTAGAGAGGAAGTGGGCATATACATACGCATGCTGATATATATACACATGTTGGCAAAAACAACGGGAACACGCGAACACTACACAGCATGGGAAGTGTGTGTATGTGTGTGTGTTTTTGTGTGTATATGCGTGTGTATATGTGTGTATGTGTACAAATGTTTTTACTAATTCCTCGTAATAAGACTGTGTGTATGTATGGAGAGGGAAAAAATACACATACTGACAAAAACACAGGAAAATGGAAATAGATCTAAGAACACACAGAGGTCATTAAAAGACAAGAATGCCGATAACTCCTTCATCATTTTTCGGACTAATCTTCATAGTTTTATAACCCTTCACGCATAACTTTTCACTGCCAATTCAGGAAGACATTTGGGTCACTAACACACACAAAAGAGAATGTCTCAAATCGAGAATATTTAACATCGAAAAATATAAGAAAAAATTAATTATTTTTAATAATATGGGAAATCTCCACCCTTTGCCTGATGAAGGTCTCGAGATCGGAAACACTTGTAGCAAAAGTGTGTAACATAAAGCATAATATTTTTTTTAAATCCGCATTACAACCAAAACGTTTGCGGTTTCTCGCTTCTTTTTAATATATATATATATATATATATATATATATATATATATATAGAGAGAGAGAGAGAGAGAGAGAGAGAGCATATATATATAGATATAGATAGAACGATAGATAGATAGATAGATAGATAGATAGATAGATAGATAGAATCAAAGAACGAAAAAAGAAAATAGATAGATAGATAGATAGATAGAATCAAAGAAAGAACGATTTATTGATAGAAAGATACAAAGGAAGATAGACAGATAGATAGATAGATAGATAGATAGATAGATAGACTCAAAGAAAGAACGATAGATAGATAGATAGATAGATAGATAGACTCAAAGAAAGAACGATAGATAGATAGATAGATAGATAGATAGATAGATAGATAGACTCAAAGAAAGAACGATAGATAGATAGATAGATAGATAGACTCAAAGAAAGAACGATAGATAGATAGATAGATAGATAGATAGATAGACTGAAAGAACGATAGATAGATAGATAGATAGATAGATAGACTCATGGGTAGATAGATAGATAGATAGATAGATAGATAGATAGATAGATAGATAGATAGATAGACTCAAAGAAAGAACGATGATAGATAGATAGATAGATAGATAGATAGATAGATAGATAGATAGATAGACTCAAAGAAAGAACGATAGATAGATAGATAGATAGATAGATAGATGAAAGAAAGAAAGAACGATAATGACTCATAGACTCAAAGAAAGAACGATAGATAGATAGATGATAGATAGACTCAAAGAAGAACGATAGAAAGAACGATAGATAGATAGATATAGATAGAACAAAGTAAGAACGATAGATAGATGAATAGATAGATAGATGAGACTCAAAAAAGAACGATAGATAGATAGATGAATAGATAGATAGAATCAAAGAAAGAACGAAAAAATAGATAGATAGATAGATAGATAGATAAATGATCAAAAGAAAGAACGATAGATAGATAGATAGAAAAAGAAAGAACGATAGATAGATAGATAGATGAATAGATAGACTCAAAGAAAGAACGAACGATAGATAGATAGATAGATAGACTCAAGAAAAAGATAGATAGATAGATAGATAGATAGATGAGATAGATTCAAATAGACTCAAAGAAAGAACGATAGATAGATAGATAGATAGATAGATGAATAGATAGATAGATAGTTCAAAGAAAGAACGATAGATAGATAGATGAATAGATAGATAGATGAATAGATAGATAGATAGATAGATCAAATAAGAATGATAGAATAGATAGATAGATAGAAAGATAGATAGATAGATGAATAGATAATCAAAGAAAAAACGATAGATAGAAATAGATAGATGATAGATAGATAGAATTAAAGAAACGAAAAAAGAACGATAGACTGATAAAATAAAGAAAAAAGAAAATAGATAGATAGATAGAATCAAAGAAAGAACGATAGATTGATAGAAAGATACAAAAGATAGATAGATAGATAGATAGATAGATAGATAGATAGATAGATAGATAGATAGATAGATAGAATCAAAGAACGAAAAAAGAACGACAGACTGATAAAAATAAAAGATAGATAGATAGATTTAAAAGTGTGTATTTTGATTGAGTCTCAAGTCAGAAAAATGCTCAGAGTCAATGGTGAAGTACTATCAATTATGAAAACGTCGATTAGTCTCGCGCCTAACAGGAAACATTTCAAGTGGTCTTTAAAAGCAATCAATCTTCTGATTTTGCAGGTATAACACTTCAAAATACTTTAAGCTAGAACAGAAATAATCCAAAAGCTGTCAGCATAAAGTAAAATATGTACGCGAAAAGAAACATAGACCCATCAAGAGATTATCGTCTTTTTTCAAGGGGAATAACTCTATCATCTCCATTACTGTCTGGCCACTTGTAACGATCCAGAAGCCATTCAAAGTCCGTAACAGAGCAAAATATTTGTAACTATTGAAAACAATAGTAGTACTTATAAAATTATTAATAGTCAAAGAGAAACTTGTTTAAAAAATAACAGGAAACTTTGATGCAAATATATTGATGTCTATAAGAATTAAATTCTGTGGGTGAGAATCTGATTTTCTATATCAAAGTTAACCGAATATAAGACTTGGAAGCCACTCAAGGTAGAGGGTTACTGCTGAAATTCTTATGATGAATGAGGTGTGTGATATCAATGAGGTATCTGATATCAGTGAAGTATGTGATATCAATGAGGCGGGCGATATCAAATCTTTAGGCTTCTGTAACGTCTGGTTTTCAACATGCAGTTTTGCATTGTAGTATGGGAAAATGGCACCTTTTTCAATTTGCTTACATCAGTCTTTTTTATTGAATCTAGGTTTCTACAAATAGTGAAGGGCGGTTGAGATATCGATTTTCAAACTCTTTCTTCCGTCGAAATTTTCAGTTTATTCCCGACGATGGTAAGCAGAGCGTTTTCATCGATGTCGGAAAGTTGCCCGGGGCGTGGTTAATCGTTTAGGTTAAAATCACCCTGACGAAATTTGCCAAACCATTTTTTAACCGCCCGAAGAGCTGGAGCATGTTTCAAATAAAGCTCCTGAATGTTTTTGTTTTTTTTTGTTTTTTTATCGCAGTTCCGACTATTACTCCTTTCCGAAATTCATAGATTATAATATGGCGAAAGTGAAATTTTTCAATTTCTATCTTTAAGGCATTGATTTGTGGACAAAACGTTAACATTCTGCAATGTCAGAGTCGCAACGGTGCAAGGTTTCTATCTAGAACACACCAGAAATCAGTAACAAAACAAACGCAAAGGTGAAGTTGCGGACACTTTGTATTAACAATAAAAACAGGACACGATCTTTTGAGCGTGTTAAGATAAGAATTAACAACTCTTATCTCTTAATTTAGTGGCCACCACTTTCCTCAAACTTCAATACGTGGTGGGTTACTCTGAATCTCTTACAAAAAGTCTTGTCATAATCTCCAATGAAAGCTACACGTAGTATCAGGTGAGAAAGGCAATTCATCCAATTACTCGACAAGTTATTTAGACTTTTATAATTACACATGTCGTTTTATTACAACGTTTCATTCCCAGGGTCTTCCTCAAATGTATGCGATGGACTTACATTATAGGCAGAGCATCTCAAAATCATCTTTTTTCTTTCTTCAAAATCTCGTTTCATATTATAAATTTGACACTTCAGATTACGAAGAATCAAAAGTAAATTCATAAAAATCAAGGGAGTCCAGATTACGTGTAAGTTCATTGTTAATTGATACCCTATGGAAGTCAAAACAAATATAATCGTACGATGTGATTTCTGAAAATGGAAAATTTTTTTTTTTTTTTGTGTGTGTGACGCAAGAAACAGAAAGCGGAGTTCAAATTCCAGTCGTTTTTCTTTTTACATTCACTTACGAGCAAATGTCATTAGGATAAGATGAACCCATCTCTTAGACGTCACACTCTGCCAATACCTCATAAATAATAGACAATTCGTTCTGATCGTGAAAAAGGACATAAAAGACATAAGAGATGCTGCTTTGTCTCAGTGATACAAAGAAAGAAAGAAAGAAAGAAAGAAAAAGAAAGAAAGAAAGAAAGAAAAAGAAAGAAAGAAAGAAGGCGATAACGCTGTCATGCATTTAACGTCTGTTTCAGTGAAATGAAAAAAGTTTCACTTTCAAATCTTTTCATTTGTACCCTCTTACTTCTTCAAATAATAACCTTCACTTATATTTTTGATCGCAATATATTTTTAATAAGTTTTTTTTTTCCCAAATATTGCAACAGGGGAATTTCCACGGGTAATTTATAATTGCAAAACTCCCATTTTCAAATCTTTTCATTTGTACCCTCTTACTTCTTTAAATAATAACCTGCATTCCCATTTATGATTGTTATTACAATATTTTCTTAAAGTTCTTAAGCTCAACAATTCACTAAGGCAATAGAGCGATTTCCACGGGCATTTCATAGTCGTAGAACTCGGAAGCAGCTTATTCAATCATTAACTTAAGACCTATGATTCATTAAAAGATTAAAATTGGAAAACCGTGAAATGTTCATGGGTACTAGCAGTCATTAGTATCATTATTTGCCATTGTTTTGTGTAGTACTATAGAGTGCGATGGATAAAATGGCGTCTAAATTACCCCAAAATGAAAATGCCACTGACATCTCATTTTAACAGATATATTTAACAAAATTACACAAAAATATCTGGAAATACAAAAATTCGCCATTGGGTTCAACCACGGCCTCCAGACAACTTTAGAAGCTCTTCTAGACGGTCTCCTTGTTTAAGTTGGTGATTGCTTCGATAATCCTTGTTCATCTTTTGGTGTTACAAAAAGTTTTGTTAGTCTCACGCTTAACTGCGCCCCACACATAATAATCAAAGGGGTTGCATGACATAGGGTCTTACAGCAGCCAACCAGGTGACCCAGGGCAGCAATACCTCCTCAAGTCACGATGTAGGCCTACGTATTGAGTTCGTATTGGATTTCCGGCGCGAAGTACAGCAATGCCGTTTCAAATTTCTGACAAAGTGAATTGCATCATGGTGCTCTTTTTCTCACAGACGGTGCCCAACTGACCCTACTATACTGGGCAGTCGACAAAATCAAAAACAAAAAACGCGCATATGTGAAATAAAAAATATAATAGGTCAACAATTTACACATCTCTACCCATTTATAGACGGGTATCCTCGAATACAAGTACCCAGCATTTTACATATATATATATATATATATATATATATATAGTCACTTTATACGTTATTTTTATTGGATGAGTAGACGATCCGTTTATTTATTAAACAAGTACATCTATTTTCATCTACTGACTTGAATATTCAAGAAATCATTTCAGAGAAAAATATCCGTTTTACCGAAGGACCCGAACATGCACCCCCACCACTATGGGCAGAGGAAAGCGTCATTAGATTCAACGTGCCCTAACTGATTGAGCTGCAGAGAAATTCGCCGATCAAGGACGACTGAAATTCCTTTCCTCATAGACTATTCAAAATTTTTTATATCTGCTCAGTTTCGTACCCAAACGTAAACAAAGCAATTTTCTAAAGAAGTAACGGATTTTTATTTATTAATCCGACATACTGTGTAGTCGACAAAATTTAAAACAGACAATCCGCATACGCGAAATTAAAAATATAAAATGGCGACCATTTACCCATTGCACCGTGTAGTTGTCCCCAACCTCAAGCCAAATTTTGTTTTAATAACAAGAACATGAAAACAGATGAGGTACCGTGCAATCAGAGAGAGAAATATGTCAAAGGTGATCACTTCATGGAATAAAAAAAACTACATGAGATTTGAGAAGTACCAATTTTTTGCAATTCATATATTTTAAATACTAGAAATCCTAACAATATTTAGGATTGTTGAAGTTTTCGCTATCATTTTTGTCGAGGTTTCCAAACTGTACGTTTCATTCAATTTAGCAAACCAATAAAAATACTTTGGAAAAATACTTTGGCAAAATCATACTTCGTGGTTTAATAATTTCATTAATTTAATAGGACTTCATGGTAAACAATATTTTTAAGAAAATTTCCTTTTTAACATCGAAGAATAAATTCTTAGTATTTCTTACACTCGAGCATGCAAAATACAACTGGCCATGCGTACATATTTCTTTCTAGAGACAAATTTCAACTTTGTGAAGCGTTTGATCTTGTGATTTCTTTATAGTTCTCGCGAACGCAGGGCGAAATGAAAACTGATGTCTTGTTAAAAAAAAAAATAGTGTTTGAAAAGTTACGAAAACAAAAGTAGCTAAAATCAAGTTGATTTCGCTAGAAAACAACTGATATCAAATAGTTTAGGCAGATTACGTAAATTTATATTTAAAATCTTAATACTGTACTTGGTACCACCTTAAATTTTGGTAGATTTACCAAAAATTTGGTTTCGATCATCAATGTATTTCTATTTTAGAGGGTGTAACGAACAGACGATGAACTAACGGCAGGCATGCAGTTTTATATATAGATGCCAGGAATATGATCCACATATTTGTTGGATCCTTTTGATATCGTTTTCAAAGCTGCAATAACAACAGGTGATGTTGTTGTCTTGAGATGCCATATTCAACTGATTTCTTCTCGAAGTGTTTGTGTTTGTCTATCATTGTTCAGATAGGAATAAGAATAAATATCTTTAATTATTTATTTATTATCTAACAATTCCAATATTTACTGATGTATTACAGTAAAAAAAAAAAAGAATCGTTCCTAAGTTTCTGTAAAAGTTCCAGTAGCTTTTCTTTAGAATATCCATTTTCAGACTGTTGCTACTTTTCTTAAAATTCTTCTTTGTCTGACCATTTGGTGGAATTAAGTCCTTTACGAGGTCTTTAAAAATTTGACTGTTTTTAGCATCATTGGCGTAAACGGTATCGTCATTAGTATCATAATTTTTACGAAGAAAATCATTGCTTTTAAAAATATACATTATCTATTTTCTTATGTTTCGCTTCTTTTCAGGCCATAATCTGACGTGTCTTCTGGTGACTCAAATTTGTAATCAAGTGAAGGTGGCACGCTGACATCTAATATTTTCATCCATCCAATCAGCAAGCGACAACATGATGAATTGACGTCAGCAGTAGCATAATCTTAAACCAATGTGGACCTTCAATCCAAACCATAGAAGACGCAGACATATCTATAAAAAAATATTCAAGGAAATTAAAACACGAAATGAAGCATGCAAAACGTCAGGGATAGATTTAAAAGAGGCAATAACATGAAAAAGAAAATATTTGTAAATAAAGAAATATTGTTCTCATATTTGTTCCCATATTTTTCACAACGTTTCGGCCGTTAGTTGGAATGTCGAACTGAACCCTTTATTTCGCTCACTGAGGTAGACCGTTCTAATTCCACGTGCCATGTCTAATGGATGTCAGTTATCAGTTATCTCCTTTTAATTCACCTTTCCAAGTTCTCCACTGCCTTAACCAGGTATTGAACTAACACTCTTTGGGTCCTCTCAGTGGATCTAACCAACGCTTTTAACCACTATCCATTCACATGGACACATGGCACAGTATATATATATATATATATATATATATATATATATATATATATATATATATGTGTGTGTGTGTGTGTGTGTGTGTGTGTGTGTGTGTGTGTGTATATATAACGTAAAAGTTTAAAGTGATGTTATATATATATAACGTCACACACACACACACACACACACACACACACATATATATATATATATATATATATATATATATATATATATATATACATCATTTTACTCCGAATCTTTTATATATATATATATATATATATATATATATATATATATATATGTATATAACATCGGAGTAAAGTGATGTTTACATTAATGTAATCTACACATGCGCACAAAGGCGAAGAGATGGTGAAATGTAGAAATGTAGTCTAGCCAACATGAAGTCCTAAAGGACAAAACGCGTCACACCAAATATATTTTTCAGGTTGACATGGATTTTCCTAACATTTTTCTGGTATATAAATATTCATATGTCTTTTTCCCTCTCATATTTTCATAATATAAATACGCATGAGCAGAAGGCATTGTGACAAGCTTAAAAAAGACATGTTATAGCAAAATTGCGGATAATTTTTATTACACGCCCAAGTATCTATCTGTCAATCTATCTATCTATATATACTCGCCCTCGTATCTATCTGTCTGTCTGTCACATTCTCATATTTAAGACGATTCCGATCTATTTCAGCCTATATATATCTATGTTATATCTCAGATTGTTAATATCTATCTCATTTTCTCTCTTTTCTCTCTCTCTCTCTCTCTCTCTATCTATCTATATATATATATATATATATATATATATATATATATATATATATATATATGTATGTGTTGTTTCGTTTTTGGATATGATCAAGCTTTGATCAAGCGTAAATTAATTTAATCTATTTTCAATGGAAGGTTTTCCATTTGTCAAACTTTTTTAAAAATTTTGTCGGATTTTATATCTATTTTAAAAGATATATATATATATATATATATATATATATATATATATATATATATATATATAAATATATATATATGTGCGTGTGCGTGTGTGTGTGTGAGAGAGAGAGAGAGTGAGTTTGTGTGAAGGTGAGTTTTTAGCTTTTTGAATGCAGCGGACTTTGAATTATGCGTATGTTTGAAATATCTGTAGGGACTTTGTGAATATCTGTGTGCTTCGTTGGATGACTTGTTCTTTGATGAATTTTTGTCCCTCTCTAACAGATACGATATATTTATTAAACAAGCATACTTTTAGTGTTTTCGTGTAACAACAATATATACACACATAAATATCTATAAATCAGATGGCTACACAATATATATATATATATATATATATATATATATATATATATATATATATATATATATATATATATATTTATATATATATATATATATATATTTAAATATATATATATATATTTTATATATATGAATATATATATTTATATATATAATATCTTTATATATATTATATAAATATATTTATATATATATATTTATGTATATATATTTATATATATATATATATATATATATATATATATATATATATATATATATATATATATATATATATGCTTGTTTTTGTGTGTGAGTTTGGACAGTGTTATATAAAAAAAAACCGAACGTTCGTTTATTTTTATTAACTTTTTCCTCCCTTCAGCGGTGGTGTTTGTCATCAGGATCGACGCTGTGCAAATATTGTCCGAATTCTAAGCGCTTTTGGGTTTTGTAAGCCATTTTCAAAAAAAAAAATAAAAGAAGATTATGTTGGCTTTTCTCGTTACAAGGGAGGAAAAGTTAATAAAAAGTAAGAAATATTTCTGTTGAATATTTTGTACGGTTTTCTTGATTCTTGAAAATGTTTATCAATGGGTTTGATGAAGAATTTACCTATATCGTTTTTGGACCCGATGCGAATTTTTTTTGTGTTGCATTTTTTTCTTCTGTAAAAATGCAACCTGTACAAAATATTTTTTTTTTTAAATCTGTAAATCTTTGCTGTACCTGCATTGAAAATGTAACTGCTAAACAAAATCCAAATGCCGCTAAACAGTAACTAACCGACGCCATATACCAAGCTACTGAAAGAAAACTTAGTTCAGAATCACATCAGAATCACATAAAACCCCTGGAAACATATAATAAACTACTCAGACGAAAAATAATTTCACAACAAAAATATGAAAATAGCCCAACAAAGCCAGGTTTGGAGATTGTGCCGGCCATGGAAATTGTTGAATACCTTCCAGAAAATGTTGAGAAGTACGAACATTATGAGAGCGGACATTATCCTGGTGGAATAACACATCGTCTTTCTGTTTCAGGAGTGGCAGCAGAAAGCATTGAACAATTACGTGGATACATATGACATTTCATTCACAAATAAATCCGAGTGAAAAAAAAAAAAAAAAGATTATGGAACCCCACACCGTGATGGCAGGTGTTGAACTTGCTTGATATAGAAATATACACCCAGGAAGATGTCTACATTCCTGGGTCTACGCTGCACCTTCATGCGAATATAGCTTTTTTATACTATTGTTTAATCAATAAAAGACCCAAGACCATCACAAGGTAGTGGGCTAGTGAATGAGGTTGCCTTAAGGTCGTACAAGGAGCAAGTAAACGGTGCTAATTATGATGATATGTAGGATAGATAAGTTGGTCCTAGACTTGATGATTGGGAAAGCCTCCTCTCGGGAGTCTGCCGCATAAATTCGGAAAAGAAGCTGTCTGGGTGGAACTTCCTCCTTACCAATGAAATACGAAGGGAGTGAGGAGGAGCCAACTTTGGCTGGTCCTAGCTGTGAAGCTCTTGCATGGTGAAAGTAAGGCATAAAAATAACGATAGAGTAGCGAAAAATAAAAAGCTAGTAACGTTTAGTCTGTAGGAAAGGGATTGCAGGATCGAAAATAAAGATAGATAGATAGATAGATAGATAGATAGATAGATAGATAGATAGATAGATAAGGAACGGCTGAAATACATAGATATGAACAGACTGAGATAGATAGATAGATAGATAGATAGATAGATAGATAGATAGATAAGGAACGACTGAAATACATAGATATGAACAGACTGAAATAGATAGATAGATAGATAGATAGATAGATAGATAGATAGATAGATAGATATGGAACGGGTGAAATACATAGATATGAACAGACTGAAATAGATAGATAGATAGATAGATAGATAGATAGATAGATAGATAGATAGATAAGGAACGGCTGAAATACATAGATATGAACAGACTGCGATAGATAGATAGATAGATAGATAGATAGATAGATAGATAGATAGATAAGGAACGACTGAAATACATAGATATGAACAGACTGAAATAGATAGATAGATAGATAGATAGATAGATAGATAGATAGATAGATAAGGAACGGGTGAAATACATAGATATGAACAGACTGAAATAGATAGATAGATAGATAGATAGATAGATAGATAGATAGATAGATAAGGAACGGCTGAAATACATAGATATGAACAGACTGCGATAGATAGATAGATAGATAGATAGATAGATAGATAGATAGATAGATAGATAGATAAGGAACGGCTGAAATACATAGATATGAACAGACTGAAATAGATAGATAGATAGATAGATAGATAGATAGATAGATAGATAGATAGATAGATAGATAGATATGAACAAATTAAGTTAAGAACAGAATGACTTAGATTAGTAGAAACATTGACTGAGAAAATATCAATCTTATTCTCCTGGATATACACAGTCTGATATAATTATTTATTTGTTTAACGACATATCAACTCCTTATGGCCATTTAACGCCGAAATTTAATTTTCTTGGGAGCTTTGAAGTAATAAAAATATGATATATTCTGTTATATATGTTATTATATATCTGATATATGTTATTATTTCACAATTGAATACATGGTAGATCATATTCAGCCTTTGTGCATATATATGTTTGTGTGTACATGAGGCGATGATATGTGTGTTTTATGTTGTAGTTTTGTTGAAGTTATATTTTGGGATGCAGTTTGATTTCTTTAAGAAATTGTAGGATATTGTATGGATTAATGTCATGAAAGAGTTCTTTCATGTTCATTGATGTACTGTTGGTATTTTTTTTATATAAAAATGCATTGCTGTTATTTTACTATAAAAATTTATTTTTGTAATTTCATGCTTTGACCCTAGTTTACGGATTTACTATTTGTTCACACCTGCACCCCTAACAGGGTCTAGAACCAGGGTTCAAGGTAAACCTGGGAACAACAGCAATAAAGAAGTGATTCCACGCTCTTCAAAACCTCCAATTTCCTTATCAGAAGCCTTGCTGCCGGATGTAGTTTATCCTCATACCCAGGACTAGTCAGATAGATAGATAGATAGATAGATAGATAGATAGATAGATAGATAGATAGATAGACTAAGAAATAAATAGATAAATAATGAAAGGAAGACATTAGTTGAGATGCATTGAGGAAATTTTCTGACTTGAAAATCTGTATGGAAGGTGCGTCATACTACAGCTTTATAAATGTACATCAACGTACCAGTTTACACGAGAAAGGGGAAACATTATTAAAGAGTGAGAACACCAGAAGAGTAATCTGGAAGTCAGTAGACAACAATTGAGATTGCATTTAAATTTTTGAAGATCAAATTTGGCCGGAAGGCGTGTTGCCAGAAGAGAGTTCCACAAGCGAGAAGTGCGAAAAAAGAAACTGCTAGCATAGAACTTACGGTTACATCTGGCCATTTCGACTGTAAGATGACGAGACCTAGCTACCAGTCTAGTACTGCGCTTAAATTCGACTGTAAAGTCTAGTACTGCGCTTAAATTTGTAGAGACTAGTTACCATAGAGGAAAGCTCATCAGAACGATTATCATGAAAATATTTATAGAAATGACACGGAATGACACGGAAATTAATTTATGCCGATCATTATCTTGACTGAAGCCGAGATGCCAGGTTAGGACCGATAACATTGCAGATTATTTGGATTGGAGAAAAAATATCTAAATACATATCAGAAACACCAAACCAGTTGTGACGGCAATATTCACTGCAAGTACGAATGGTAGACTTATAAATGTTTAAGATAGATTCTGGCGAGAAAAATTGTCTAGAATGTCAGGTGAATGAACTTTCCTCGCAGCAGACCTTGCAAAAGATTCAATAGAATCCTTCTACTTTATGTCAACGGAAGTCGTTAGCCGGAAAAAAGTGCAATGAATCCCTCTCCTGGACAGTAACATCAGCCAGGCTGGTAGAAGGCGAAAATGTTCTCTAACGCTAACAATGTGAATGATGTGCCGAAGATCGAACTCATTTGAGTTAAAATGATCTGCGTAGCTTAATTATTCAATATTCATACACATGCCTGAATTTGGAAGCGCAAAGAAAAGCAACAAGTAAAAAAGATGCCTAATTGCCCAAATCAATTGTGGCTAAAATAAAAGAAAGAAATGATCAATTGCAGTTTCTAGTTGATTAAAATTGTTAAAATTGAATAGCATCGTTTGGTGCCATGAAAATTGAAGCAATTTACAGGTTCGTGGCTTTGAGAGAAACCTCAAGAAACGATTGCTTTAAATGGATTTATTTTGGACGAAAAAGAATAAGATGAAAAGAATATACTTGTAATTACTTCTTTAATGTTCTAATCAGATAATATGCAACTTTCGTTGATGAAGAACGTTGATTTCTCATTCCTCGTTTACGATGGCTTCTGATGAAATTATCGGTACGGCCGATGACGATTGATGTCTTAACCCCGAGGTACACCTACTCAGGTTTAAAAGTTTCAGAGAGAAGAAAACATGTGCAAATGAAAAAAGAACAGCCAATGTTGAAGTTAAATTGACATTTCAAATTAGTTAACCTTCTATCATTTATTCGAGGTATAGCCCTATGGTTTGAACGTTGGACCAAATAAAATGAACGACCACTTAAAATAAGTAGTGTTAAATTGCTTAAAAGAAAAGGCGTACTTGAGCACATTAAATTTTAGCTAGCCAGACCGGGTGGTTAAATTTTAATACAGGATGAGGCAGAAATACCTCCCTGATATAGCTCAGACTTCATATAAAAACACAAGCATTGGACACTTACAACTTTGAATTTACTATTACAACGAGGTGTAAATGAATCATCAGGATTCAACTGTCGGGAAGAAAAGGCTCATTTTATCCCACATAATGATAAGACATGAGCAAGGTGAAGACATCATTCCCACTAAAGTCTTACCATTATATGGGAGGTATTTCCGGGAGGTATATGTGGGATTTATTTCTGCCGCACTCTTTATAATGTACTCAGGCCTCAGAGGTGCGTCTCCACCAAGTAAATCTCTCTAGGGAGGGTAACTAGAGTCGTGAAATGGTACCTGATGCATCTACAAAATGAGAAATCGAGCAATATTTGACTCAAGTTCACTTACGCGTGCGGGGTTCCTATATTTGAACAACATTTAGACACATTTTATTCAAGCACTTCAGGCTTGTGGATCTTCCTTTCCGGCTCCATAATTTCCAGCCAACTTTAATCTTCAAAAATTTAAATGCAATGTCAGTCGCTATCTACTGTCTCCTGAATCTCCCTTTTATTCCTGCTCACTAGTGACGTTTCTGTTTCTAATTCTTCCACACCCAGTAACCCCTAGACTGGAGTCTAGATCTCATCAATTTATAGTTCAGCTGACTCGATATAACCGTAAATTCCATATTGACAATTTTTTTTCTCGCACTTCTTGCATGCGGAAATTTCTTCTGGTGTCATGCTTTTCAGCCATCTTTAATCTCCAAAAATTTAAATGCAATATTAATTTCTATATACTGTCCTGATTACTCTTCTTTTGTTCCTCCCGATTAGCAATGTTGCTATTTTCTATTTCTAATTTTTCTATTTTTTTTTTAAGCATTTCACCCCAAGCAAGGCGGGAAGCCACTAGGACGCAAGAGGTTACAGAAAATTTAGAGCAAGATCAGATAGGAGTGATAGAAGAAAGGATGAGGAGAAGAATAGTGGATCGATCAAGGCAACTGGAGATGTCGATTGACATTACACTTGAATAGCTGGAGATTATAGCTCACAGGGAAACAGGAATAGGGAAGGGAGTTCCACAGGCGAGAGGTGCGAGACATGAAGCTATTGGAGTAGAAGAGACGGCTACAGTGAAGGGGTGAGAGCGGGATGCCAGCCTCGTAAGGCGCTTGAACTCATGACGTCTGGGAACCATCGAATGCAGCTCCTCGGAGCAATTTCCATGAAAGTATTTGTAGAACAGACAGAGGGAGGCGACGGCGCGTCTGTGAGAAAGTGACTGTAGACGAGACGCCAAAGCAGGGCCAACTACATTGCATATCCGCCTCTGGAGCCCATCAAGAACCCCGAGGCAAACAGAAGGGGCACCAGACCATATATGGCAGCAATACTCCATGCAAGGGCGAATTGTTGATTTGTAGATCTGTAGGATCGACTCCGGGGAGAAAAACTTCCTGGCGCGGCTCAGGGAGCCTACTTTCCTTGCGGTGGACGAAGCAATTGACTCAATGTATTTATTCTTCCCCACCCAGTAACCCATTGTGCCTTAGTGGCTTTACTGCCTTGCATGGGGTGAAATTGATTAAAAGAAATGCGTGCGGATAAATCCCTACAACAATGAGGTGTTTACATGGGCGCAATGTTTAGCAAGTACGTCTTGCATCAAATTCACTAGTATCCGAGCTCGTTCCGTTATGATGGCCTTGTGCCACACTAATAAGAGCTTAGCCAATATATCAAGGGGAGCTAACCGTGGTTTGAAGATAGTGTTTGGTTCATTTCTGTAGTACTCTGCCTTCCATAATCATAGCTGATGCTAACCCCCCAGGAAAGTGACTCATAACGCCTTCTTCGATGCATTCGTACATGCATTGAATATTGCTACCATTTCTGGCCATGTGCTCCTGGTATACATTTAGAGATTCCTGAGAAAATCCAAAGACAGAATCTGCAACATTATTGGTCCGGATGTGGCATCTCGCCTTCTGTCCTTTTTCCACTTTCCTATAAATACATTCATGGTAATTGTTCTTTCCACTATGTTACCTAGACTTTACGAATTTTGTTCTTGTCTTAGGCCAAACTTTCTACTTCTTAGACTCGCCTGCGGAGTATCGAGTCGAATCCTCACCAAGCTAGCTGTTGTTGTTGCGGTTCCCCTTGGTAAGTAGCATTCAGAGTTTTCTTTCTCCTAGACTAGTTGCCAACCAAGATTAGAGAGGCCAGTCTAACTTGTTATTTATAGTGGGCAGAATAGATTCATATCTTACCCAAGGGTATTTGGGTAAAACACATAGACCTCGGCAACTCGTCGTTAATCTTGCTTTCCGTGACGGTGACCACTATGCTTGTGCTACGCTATGCTTAATAAATACTTTCTGAGTGCATACCATAATCTAATCATTCGTAAGCTCATTTCGTATTGTGAGTTCAATCCTCATGGTTGACCAATTATTGTAGTTCTGTGACAAAAGAAAACAGTTGTAATTCATTACAAAAAAGTTCACTAAAGAAAATCATTTAGAAAATGAACCTTTTCTTCTCGACAGTCGAATCCTGATGATTCATTTACACCTCGTTGTAATAGTAAATTCAAAGCTGTAAGTGTCCAATGCTTGTGTTCTTATATCAAGTCTAAGCTAGCGAACCGATACGTTTATATCAGAGATGGGCCTGGCAGTACATCGTCAGACCAACGTGGAAGAACGATGATCAGTATTTGAGTTGTAATAAATTAAGAACAAGATATCCCGAGACTTGAACAGCGGAACGAGAACATTCTACCTGCGTATGTGAAATAGCATTTTCAATTTGACATTCCTCGAAGATTACCCAGATAGACAGGCACCTGAAGAAGGCCTGTGAGCATAAAGTCGAAACGTTGTGATGCTAACAACAAAGATGAGAACATAATGGAAATAATTGTTTTTTTAAAACCTTAAAAGGAAACCCACTATTTAAGAAAAAAGGACGTTTTCTTCTCATCAGTCGAATTTGAACGGTATATTCATTTATATGTCAGGTAAGCCATGTCGGGTAAGTGAGTTCGAATCTTTATATACACGGTGAGGTTTGCTGATCTTGACACGACCTCATTTGTTTATTTATTTTGAAAATCAGTGGCAGTAAGAATTTAAAACGCTTACTCGCATTGATTTTCAAAATAAATGACGATTTATTTTCCATATTTTAGTCTTGAGAGGTTTTTTTTTAATTTTTTATAAAAGTTTTACATGCGGACAAAATCTATCCATTCCTCTCTCCAGCATCGACAAAGTGCAAAAAAAAAAAAAAAAAATATAATTAATAAAACACCACACAGGTTGTTGGAAATATATCGTATTTCTAAAAAAGGATATATTTGACAACGTCAGTTGACGGACACAAAGCCAAAAAAAAAAAAATGATTGCCTGGC